ACTAATTAAGTATATATTTTCATGCTTTGTTCTCCTTAGATACTGTATTTAATATGGACATGAAATTGTGATTTTCATTATAATTTAATTCTATTACTTAAGCCTCTTTCACTACTAGATTGTGGCATTCTCAACTTTAGAAGTAGTAAATGAAGCGCTACATAGCATTTAATTATTTTTTGTTATATTTTTCTGTACTGTCTTAAATATTACCATGTCACAAGAGACTCGTGTAGTGCAGATAGAGCATTTTCAGCTTCCATCCACATTACTGCAAGGCTTCAGCTCCAATTTTCCTGTTATTTCTCATTCAGATTAGACAAGCATCTAAGTTTATGTACAATAAGAGCTGACAGCATAGATCCTGCTATGCTTGCCAAAGGCCTGGTTGCAGACACTCCACTATGTCAAAGAATGTTAACCCCCCACAGACCTTACCTTTCAGAATTCCTTGTAATTTTTAATTGACATTTACATCTGACATTTTCAATGTAATTCTTAAGTGTTGAGTCTTTATCTGTCTAGTAACAGTTAAAAACAAACCAAATCAAAACAAAAAGAATCCCTTCCTGTAAACTATGATTTCATATATTTTTCATTTAACAAGATCAAGTTGCTGGGCTGAAACTCAAGAATGACCAACTCCCCCTTCCTTCATGTAATTCTATATTTGCTAGTCTAATCCATTTCAAATGACAATTGAGGAGGGTAGTAGGAGTATGAAGTGGAATTTAACTCTTAGTACTAATGAACAAAGCATATTACTATTACTAGGCATTATGCACTGAAAAGACAGATATTTTGAGAAAATTTTAAGAATACTAATACAGATTTTTCTTTGAGTCAGGTATTTGAATACTGAAAGTGGTACCTTCATACAAATATTCATGCAATGTGCGTGGAAACAGCATATTGCGAATGAAGTGAAACCAGCAAGTATGTAATTTAGCTTCATGTTGCAGTGTGTTTTGTTCCTTGCCTTGAGAAATCTGAAGTTTTCATTTGGTTTAAAACACTAAAAGCCTAATAAATTAGTATGAGCATAATTATGCACCTCTTGAAAGTTAGAATGAAGGACTACAGTTGATCATAAATGTCACAAAGTAAAGAAGTAAAAGAAGCATTTTGTCACAAATAATGCTGCTTTTCTTCTAATTAGTTAATTTACATTTTGCAAATTAAGGACAAGATTCAGACAGAAGATAATCTAGTAGCATATCATAGCTTTACTGACCTGTGTTTGTATATGCCAAATTTAAGTTAATTAGAAATGTAGATGCTGATTGTTTTATCTGTCAAAAAGCTCATCTTAAAAAAAAAGAAATCTAGACACACTTTTTCCCCCAACATTTATCATCTAAATAATAGTCTTGCCAAGATGGCAGCCTCATAATAAACTCTTTTCAGTGGAGTGATGGGTAATGAAGCTTGCTTGTGAAGGCAGCGAAAAATGTTGTCTAGCCAAATGTGTGAATATGATGGCTAGAGAATCAGTGGACTTTCTCAGTCATCAATCTTTTTAGTAGCCTCTTATACATCTGAATATTTTGATAGATGATCTAATAATTGAGTTATCTATCTTTCTAACTATCAGAGTTGCATAAAAATTATTCTCACATGCTATTGAATATTATATATATTGGGCACCCAGTAAATTTTTCAAAAAAGGGTCCAAGAGATGGAGGAATTTAGTTGCGTCTTAAACATCCTTTAATATATTAAATGATAAACTACTACATATAGAATATAAAACTGTTTGTACTATTATAGGAAGAAGGTAAACAATGTCAATAGCTTATTACAGATAAGACACAGTAAATAAAGCATGTAAAAACATGAGACTGCTATGTTAGCGCAGAATCTAATTGAAATGTGAGGTATGAGTAGATTCAGAAGCCAGTTAATGGACAGCAGTCATATTTACACACAGTTGCCGAAATTCCTTGTGTCTAGGAAATCTTGGCTGAGGGAAAAAAGAAATACAGTGCCACTGTGGAGTCCAAAGTTACCATTCACATCTCTGTGAGAGCAGTTTTTCTTGATTAAAGATGAGGCTGAAAAGTATGTATTGAAATTGCCCACATCTTGTTTTTTCTGGGTGATTGTGCAATATGGATTTGTGTTTCCAAAGCACAAGAATTTGCTTTCCAAGGAAATTAATATTGCATAACAGAAGCATTCAGGGTGTTTGGATGAGCTGCATTGAACACATCATCAGATGTGTCTTTCTAGGGCTTATGAGTAGAAAAGCAAAACGATTTATGGTGTTGGTAGTTTTTCTTTTTTAAACACTACACTTCAGACAGACATCATACACTTCTAGGCTTTGAATGCATTTCTGCTCAAAGGATCAGGTAAAAATTATTTTAATAGTAATTAAAATATTTTTGCAGTAAGAGTATTTTCAATTCAAATATTCCCCCCCCCCCTCAGTTTTACCATTTATGTTTGATTACATGCTTTTCTATAGATTATAAAATGTTCCTTCTTGTAAATTCTTGAAAACTGAAGGGGGGGGGGGGGCGGGGGGCTCATTTTTTTTAAAATACAATTACTCTGAATTACAGTATATTTTAATTTTTTAGTACTTCTTTTGTCCACTTCATAATTACAGCAAGATACAAACAAGTGCATTTTATGAATGGTTCTCCAATTTATCAAGTGGCTTTTCTTTCTCTGGTCAGAACTAGATTGATCAGGATGCTTCCTTGAGGATATCAAAAAGTTGTTCACTTGTTGCGGAATATTAATGGAAAAGTATCAATATAGTTACTTTATCAATATATATATCAATATGAATATATAGAGAGATATATATTGATATATATAGTGTATATATATATATATATATATATATAAAGTATCAGTATAGTTAGTTTATAGTTACTACCTGCTTAAAGGAGGAAGCCAAAGATGGATTTCCAGGAGTTGGATGTTACCATGATTTGACAAGTACTTTGTGAAAGTATCATTGTGCCTCATTGGACCTTGCCACTGCATACTGATCTACAAATCTAACAGGTTTAGCTGGCTCACTGACAGCGGTTGTGACTTATGCTTAGTGAGAAAAGTCCTTGATGTTTAGGAGTTCTTGTTAAACATGCATAATTAGTTTGATACAGTTTGGATACATGTAAAGCAAGACACTGAAATAAAATTACTTGAGTAATAACAATATAAAAGCTAGCAATAAAAATTTGGTTTGGAAGTTCCACACTTGTAATATTTCATTCCACATAAGCAGTCTATATTTTTGTTTTCTATAATGCTTACATTGATTTTATGCAATCTTAAATTACATAAGTGTAATTTCACATATGCATAATTTAAACCTAGGACTAAGGCATTAGAAAACAAATAAGAAGGGTTAAATTATTCGCTTTCATTAATTGGGGAGTTTTAATATAAGAAAGATAAAAAGCTTCTGAATATATAAGTTTGTAAGCAATTAACTGGAATTTATCAAAGCCAGTGTCTGATTTTCTTTACTATATATGGCTTCTTCTGATCTTAAGAAAATTTGCAGTTATTCTAGCTAGTATTTGTAGCATGTCTACTTGAGAACACACTGAGCTCCTATGCATATACAGTGTCTTATACAAATTTACGTATGTATTTGTGTGTATGATTTTAGAATGTTTATATCTTAATTTAGGAAAGAGCTCTTCATTTCCCGCTCTTAATCAAAATAGCAAGCATCTGCGTTCCTTCTGGTTTGTCATTTGATTAGCACGCTCTCATCCATCACTAGTCTGGTATGAACATCAAGAAATCATGTCCTTTTGTTTTAAATGATAAATATGCTTTTGTCATGAATACTTACACACATTCGAAGATTTACATCTGAATTGTCAGAGTGTAACTGCATGGCTTCTCTGATGTGTGACATTATTAGTGAAATAAAGAACTTCTTAATTTTTTTATGGATAGGCCTTAAAGCTGGTTTAGCTGTGATGCTGAAAAAATTTGTCCTTTTTTCTAAGATGTGTTGTTTATCAGCAACAATCAGCTGCAGAAGAGCCTCTGTGGACATTCTTATTTGCATGGTCCAAGCCTGTCTCTTCAGGTTTCATTATTTAGGTCTGATGTCTAGTTAGCTCTTATAAAAACTAATACCATCTGAAGTACCAGGCTTCCAGTGGGCATACAACCAACATGAAATTTTTTTCAATCTGACTAATCTTATTAAAGACAGTATCTCTTTAAACTCGAGCTTTGTTTCAGTGTCTGGATCAATTGCATCTTGTAAATACATTTCTGTGAATGTTTCACTGCTTGTTTCAATGGATGGAATACATCTTGATTAAATTATATTCTGCAAGTTTTTAAAGTTAAAAAATAGTGAAAATGCTGGTGTTTAGACTAAAGCTTTACTACCATTTTTACTATGTCTTGATCCTACTAAGGCAGAAATAACTACCGTGTTGCTGGCTTCCCATTGTTGAAATAGTACAGTAATTTAAAATGTTCTAAAGACAGAGACCTAGATGGCATTTTATCAACTATCACAAAAATTGAGTGTGTCATGCAAATATGTAATTTAAATTTTAGTTCCTATCTTTGGGTTCACTTACACATGATAAAACATCATTCCCTGTATTTCTTTGCAGCTGTTGCATTTATTGTGTCCTGAGTTTTTCATGATAAAAATAATTTTGTGTTCTAAGTGCTGTAATGGTGAAACTGAATCTTTGAAATTTACAATTTCACGATATTCCAATTTATAATCTTTGAAACTTACAAAATATTTTAGAGAGAGATTTAGCAGAGGGTCCCACAAAATTATTTAAAGACCCACGATCAGCTTATAATTACAATATTTTGTAATACTATATATATAATAGTCTGCTCTATTTAGGGCTTTTTCCACCTTTTTATTGTTCTTTACCTCAGAGACTTTGACCACAACATATTTCATGTAATCAAGTTTTGAAGTCATATAAAACTGATCACATAATTAGCACATTATTTTATCTCTTTATTTGGAATGAAGTCTTTACTTGATTTTAAAGTAGTGAAAGGTACCCATATTTCAGGCTCTCTGTAGAAGAGTAATTTCGAAAGTATATTCTCATGTATTTGTTTCAAAAGGAGAAATACCTCACATCCTTTCCAACAAAGCCCAGTAAATTGAGATTTTCTGGCATATGAAGGATGCATGTGAGTTTTTGAGACACTGAAGCTGTAACCCAACTTGAAGAAGACAATGATGGCAGTGAGCTTCTGTCCAGAGTTAATCAGCTGCAGAATTTGTAAACTGCGTATGTGTCAAAGTTGAAAATGTTAGCACTCTGATAGAAGCTTGAAAAGGTTAGACCTGATAAAAGCCATCAGCAGTTAAAGAAAGTGATTTATGGGAATGTAATGACACAAAATGCCTCATTTATCACTCATATATAGATAGGTTAAGATTTCTGTGTCATACTTTAAAAACTTGACCACTTAGAATTGTCAAAATAGGTACTTAATTGACCATCATACATTTCAGTTCAAATTTCCTCTTCTTGAATTTTGGTGATTTTACAGTTTTGTTTCTCACATGGTTCTTTTCAAAGTCATTCATATTTCATATTTATTTCATATTTGTTTCAAATGGTATGCTTAGTGCTCTGTTAGAGCTTTTATTAGGTAAAGCTGTTGATTTGAGTGCTATCCAAATCTGTTGCTGATTTACAATTTCATACAGTCTAACTGTAAGGAAAATAACTGAAGGTTTCATTTTATTTTGTTTTATACCACTAATTCTTATCAAGAGTTTGCAGCTTTCTAATTCAATCCTTACATTTCCTCTTCAAACTGAAATAGGAGAATTAAACATGAGATCCATCAACTGGTTTCCAGTTCCAGTCACCTAAGTTACTGTTTATCTCCCTATGAATTAAATTTAATCTAAAACTACCAGTACTGTTAAATAATCCTAACACAAAATAAAAATGTTAGGAAAAATGCACAGTAGTGTGTTATGCTTTTACTGGTTTGATTTGAGAATAACAGGAAGGAAATCACATAGATTCGAGATGGTTTGTGGGTTTTTTTAGACTGTCCACAGTTCTATCATAATGCTGAAAAAAAAACATAACAAACATGGGTAAATCCTAATTAGGGAATACCTTTAAGAACATATTTGTAAGAGAAACCAACTACTCTAAAGTCATTGCAGTAAAATACAGGTTCAGCTTGAAAGAAGTGTAATAATGAAGTTTGTAAGGATTTCTTTAGCTACTTACCTTTTTTTTTACTTATCTTTTTTTATTTCTTCATTTTATACAGAAAATGAAAAAAAAAAAACAGAAATTAGCCTGAACAGAATAATTTTAATTTTTAATATCAGAAAACCTTACCTTTTTGTTAGCTCTCACAATTTATGGCCCTGGTTGTATAGCATTTTGTTTGTTCAGTGATGACCTTCCAGGTTCAATTTAAAAAGAAGTCAGAGGCATTTGTCATGTCTGCTTGATCTTGTCCAGAGGTACCTGTTGTAATTATAGAGGACTAATAAGGTTGTTTATAATATAACAGTCTGACAATCCTAAAAAATCTTTCAGAGAGTAACTTATTTTTTTGTCTGTTTTACGGAAAAAAAAAATCTGTAATCTCGCTTTAGGCTGGGCTGTGTCAACATTTAGTTGCAAAAGCATAAAGCACTTATACCTTGAAAAACTTAACTTAGTTTTGAGATAATGCTGTATAATTTGCTCATTAGTAATACCTTTTGCAAATACTCAGTAATAATGTGACTACAGCATAGATGTGCCCTATATTTAATTGGTGTATGTGGAAGCTCTGAGGACATGCTAGGAAACAGTGAATTCCTTTCATGGTGTAAAAAACCCACACTTATTAACATGCCTGTTGCAAAAATGTGTGATACATTAATATAGTAAGTTCTCTTTCTTAAGAAAAAATCCAAATTAAGAAAATCTCGTTTATTCCATTTTAAGGATTATTAAAGTACTGCTGTAAGTAGGTGTTATTGCAGTGATATTTTACATTATGCGTCAGATTTTTTACAACTGACTGATCATTTTTCCCTTCATATGTCCTTGGTTTGCTTCCTCTCTTCTCTTTCCTCCCCCATTTCAGCATTATCCAGCAATACTGCTTTTTATAGGTATGCATATAAGGTAAACAAAAGCATACTAAAACCAATGGAATTTGAATGTTTGAAAGAAATGTTTACGTCTCTTGTAGGGTATGTAACAACACTGTAGTACTGTCAGGCTACCATACATCATTTAAATACCCTTAGACAGCAAAAGCAAAATCTTGACAATTCAGTAATCTCATCATGTGATTTCAAGAAGGCTTTTTTCATATCTACAATTGAGACAAATTTATGTTGTATGTATTTATGGTTGTTAAACTCAAAATTGTCTCATTTCATTAATTTTTAACATTGTGCTCTCTTAATGACTATGAAGAAATGTATTAAAATGCCTTAATTATAGGGCTAGGAGAAGAGAAAGTGCAAGTCTTTTTAGCATATGATCTTTCAATTGTTCACTAAAGGATAAAGAGGGCATTCAAGCGTGGTTTAGATAACTGTCAGCAATAATAAAATGCAGGGTAGTTTGTAGAGCCTTTAAAGACCTTTCAGGGAAATAGATTTAATCAAAAAACAATAAAATGGACTTTTCATTTCAAAGAAATCCAAAATGTTATAAAATTTCAGGATTTTACTGTATTAAGAGTAATGTATGTTTCCAAGGATGATGAAGAATAGCTGTAAAAATATTCTGCAGTCCACACAGCAGTGATAGCTTTATTTTGTTATGTAGCTTTAGCTTTTAATGTGTGTCTTTTAGCTTTTAATACACATATATGGATAGCATATCAGAGCATATTTTAGGTTTTCTTAGCAGAGTGATTTTATCTGTTTGGGGTTTTTTTACTTTGTTATGCTTTTAACAAGGAATTATTGCTGTTGCTTTGGTTTTTGGGGGGGGGTGTTTTGTTGTTCTTTTTTTCTTTTTAATAAGGTGAACATCTAACTTCTTATTGTAAAATTATGTTGTTACATCACCACAGAACAATATAACTGACATCTTGGCAGATGTTCATTTGCCTGTTTGGTAGGGTCACTAGGCTCCTACTCATCATCTTACTTACTGTGAAAATACATTTCACAGTATGTTTCCAATTTCTGTTTTTTTCTCATGAAATCAGAAATTGCATTTTCTAGTAATGTTTTTGGTTGTGTGGTGTGTTGAAAAGTTTACTTAGACACTTGTTCTGCACTACTGAGTTATATGACTTCTGGCAAATTAGGGACAACTTAACCTGCATGTGGCAAACAGTGGTTTACAAACAAAATTGACTGCTGTCTTTATACAGTGGTTTTGCTCCCTTGCTTACCCTTTTTGTGTGGAAGTTTTTATAAGGAAATTGCTTTTGTGAGGAAGTGGTGCACACACATGAACTACATTTACCAATTGGTTTGTCGTAGCAAATACCAAATGAATCTGCATCCAAGTTGTCTTTGTGTAGCGAGGTTTTTTTACAGATAAATCAAATTCACCAAAGTGCATTTTCCACAAATGCTAAAACTGTCAGATTTGTAGTTGTAGTTGCTGGCCCAAGTACATTATAAAACATATTCAGAATGAAAATATGACTTAAATATTTAGAGTCTTTGCTGTATCCTCTAGTAAATTGTGTTTGGATTATTAATTCATATCAGTGTTCACTTTGTCACTGACTGATCATAGAAATAGAAAATTATCCCTGTTAGTGGATTTGGTGATTTCTCTTAAGAAAAATAGTGTTTCTTTTCTGCTTGCACACATGCCTTGAACTGCAGCACAAATGAATAGCATAACCTCTGTATCATGCACTGGGCAATGACTGTATGAGAAAGATAGCTAATCTTAATAGCTAAAATGTACAAGCACGTGACACTGTTCTACATAAAAAAGCCTCACTATTTTCTTTGTTGCTGGGCTTCCTGAAACTTGAGGACCCAGAACTACCCCAACTGCAACCAACAGTTAGCATGTCCAGCCTCAGTACAAGCTGAGGATTTAATGATGCAAATAGACGACCACAATAGAATAATGGTGTTCATTTACACTGGTATGCGTTATGATTCTTAGTGGCTGATTCTCATGCATTTGCCTCTGGACAATGGACAGGGTAAGCTGTAATGGCTATAAATTTAGCTTTGAATCTCTGTTCCACCTTTGATCTCTTTTGTACTGCCAAGCAAATTACTTGTTGCTTCCATATTTAAAATTCACTAACTGTAAAAGCCTGATACTGCATCAAAACTTTGCAAGGTCAGACTTAAAACTGATAAGGGTGTTTTCTTAAAACTCAAGGTAAAAGAGGCTACAGATGCAGATATATGAATACACTCTGTTATAAAATAATCTCTATTCTTACAGAAGAAGTGTAAACCTAAGCACAGATCTTCTCATAACTTTGATTTTTCTTATCACCATTTATGGTGTGTCAAGGAAGAGAAAAAGAATCCAGGAGTACTGTCTGTGCTTTGGCATAAAACATTATGAAAACAACATAAAGTTCCAGATGTTTTTTGGCTTGTGTTAAGGAGATAAAGGATAGGATTCTAAGACAAATACCAATCATGTCAAAGTACCAGTCAAATCATGCTTCTCTGCAAAATGTCCAGGGGAACAAGTTCAGAAAGAACAGTCTGTTTTCTCACTGTTATGGAAAAGACTTTCCCAGTTGTAAAAGCATACCATACTGTCTTTTGTGTCTTGTGCTTTTTTAGCCCTTCTCTGTAAAATCATCATGTGGGCCTCTGAAAATTAATACCCTTGCTTGTAGATTATTTTCTTTATTAATTTTTAGTTGTCACAAGACCAATAGGATGTGATAGCAGTAAGAGCTTTGGTCTCCTTAGCATCTACCCTCTCCCTGACTTGAACATACCACAAAATGAGGCTGAGGCTGTGGAATTGGCATGGTGGAAGATTCCTGTTCATGTGTAAGTCTCAGGAAAACATCTGCATCACAGTGGTAGATCTTATCTCAGAATATATATATGTGTGTGTATATGAGTCTACGGATGTATGTCTGAATTACATAGACATAACTAAAATGTGAAATTTAAACATAATAATGTAATGTTATCATAGTTCCTTTTGAGTATATCAGTAAAATACTTTAAAATAGTGCTTTGCTGTTGATAAAAATATTTCTTATATCTCTACTATAATATTCTCTCCCTGGTTTTGCTGTTATACACATGAGTGAATGTGTCTGAACTGAGAGAAACAGAAAAAAATGACTTTTAAACAATGAAATATATTAAAATTATTTAATTGCAGATAGGATGAAAAACACACAAAAAAAGGCTGTTTAGCATCATGGGATATTGTATTACATGTGGAGAAATACACTTTGCTGCATGAGTCTTTTCTATGACATGGGGGAATTTGGGTAGAACACTCCTTTCAGTAGCTCCCAGTATATGTTTTAGAGTATTAATTACCTAGTCAGGTTTTATTAGAGCCCATTGAGTTTTCCATAATTAAAATTGTAGCAACAGCTAAATGGTATGAGATGTGGAATGCAGACTCTTTGCCAAGTGTTCATCTCTGGGGTTTCAGAGGAGTGGATGAGCAAGAGAAACTTGTAAGTCCAATACTTGAAAATAAGTATGACACGGATGTGTATTTACCTTTGTATAAAATACTGAAGTTAAGTATAATAGATTGCTATGTTGTTCTTGTGGAGCAGCAATATTATGTGTAGAGTTTCTAAAGCAGTTACTAATTTTAAAAAGCAAAACTTTATAGTTGCAGTACTGGGTAACTGTAGACTGGTTTCTGTACACTTATAAATTAACTGTTTTGATGTAGTGTGAGAAAAGTTGTTTATTGTCTAGATGCTATCAAAGGCATATAACTGAAAAACAGAAAAAATCATTGGATTTTATATTGTGTGGCTATTATGGGTGTATACAGTAAATATGCATTATTATTTATTGCTTAGAATCGGTCTATATACCAGTGGTCTAGTTCTGTTTGAAGTCAGTGCGAAAATTTGTGCTGTCCTCCATGCAGGTAAGAATAAAGCAGCCGTCAGTACTAGTTTTGACCTGTGTAATGACTTGGTCCTTTAGGTTAAGTGATCAGATACAGCATAAGATCTACAATTGTACTGAGACAGTAACTTGCAGCAAATCCAGTGAAGGGCCACAAACACAATGAAGGGATTGGAGTATCTTTCACATGAGGAGAGGCTGAAAGAGCTCCAACTGTTTAGTGGGGAGAAGAGCAGGATCAGGTGGTAGCTTACCAATATACATACCTTATGGGAGGGAATAAGTAATATGAAGCCCATCTCTTTTCAGTGACGCCCAGTGAGAGGACAAGAGGCAGTGGACACAAACTGAAATATAGGAAAATTTATTGAAATTTATGAAAATCTGTCTTACTTTCTTGTTCTTGTCAAACCCTGGAGGAGGCCGTCTGGAGAGAGTGTGAAGTCTTCATCATTGGAGATATTCAAAACCCAACTAGACAAAGCCTGGAGCGTTTATCTTCAGTTCACCCTACTTTGAGCAGAACTAGACAATATCTAGAGGTCCAGTTTTACCACAGTTATTCAGTGTTTGCGTGATTTTATTTATCATTATTTTTATCAGCTTTTTTTTTTTTTTTTAAGTCACAGAGGACTCAATGTTGAAATAAGTGGAAGGGAAATCTGAAGAGCTTTAGTCCAGTAGACTGTGCTGCTATTACATTTACTGTCAGATTTCCTGAATAAGGAAATAGTTTATTCAATATTTGGGGTGAGATAGAAAATTAGGCTGTAAAAATGAGAGAAAAAAGCTCTCTACCTGTTAATGTTCTTCTAAAAACTAGTAAGTACTAAGCACCAATCTAATATAAAAAAATAATTTAAGAGCTTAAACAGTAAGAATATGAAAAAATAATGGAAGGAAAGTAGTAAGAGGGTGGTTTTATAAGTCTTGTTGATCTGAAGTTTGGGGATCAGCTCACAGAAGAGTATACAACTGTAGACGTACAAAGTTAGCAGTAATGATTAAAGTCAGTAACTGCCAGCAGATCGTAATATGTTAAAGGTTGTAATCTTTTGAAAGAAGTTGGTTGGCTTTCCTGTTGGCCGTCCTATCAACTTTAACCTCCAACCTTCTCCAGCATGTATCACTACAAATAAAACTGCTGAGGTTTGACAAGAGGATATAAAGTCACTAGGCCATCGCACAGAGATCTCTACATGATTTTCTTTAACCTTAAGCTTAAATGAACACTGCTTTAAGTCAGGGTTTTTAATAAGAAGTCATAAACACTCATATCACTTTAGTTCTAATAATCACTGTTTTATCAGAGAAGAGAAGAAATATACATAGTAAATTATGTTTGACAACTGGAGTTTGATTTTGTTATTGGTTATCTTTGACCATTACATGAATTGCTGTTCTTCATTTTAATGTATACTTTTTCATGCAAGCTGCCTATGATATTGATATAAACATGGCATTTGTGTACAGTGTTATAAATGAATTTTAGCTTTTGATTAAGGCAAGCCAGATGACAAAAATTACTTATGTGTTTGTATTTACCAATGTCAGAATAATAATCTTTAAATCTGTAGTCACCTATGCTAATTTTAGTTTTTCTTTCTCAATAATTTTTAATGTGACTTTGCACAGTACCTTTAAACAATCTAGGAAGTATGCAGGCCATACTTGCTCAAAGCTTTTCTTTATTATATCTCTCCTGAAAGCTGCCCCCATAGTGCTTCCATTTTGTCAGGGAGAAGCCATCCACAGTATTAACTCTTGCGCCGTCCCTATTCTTATGAGCAACTGATCTTTGAACACAAGCTGTACCTTACTGAAACTGTATTGCAATCCCAAAATTCTATTTCTTTCTAGTTCACAACCATACCAACTTAAAATTAGGTTTTCTGTTTTGCAGCCTGTTATTTCCCTGACAGCTTTTGTGGTGATATATAGCAATTCTTTTCATGCTTTTTTGTTGCTCTCAGATTTTCCACTCACCCATAAGTTTTCTTCAGAGTGATTACTTTAGGGGCTGTATAAGCAGTATCTTCTTTTTGAAGTCCTTCCTTTCCATACCTAAGTTCTGTTACTTGTGTGAGCCATTCGTGTATTCATTTCCAGACAGACTGTACTTTTTGTCAAAGTCCACTTTCAATAATTAGAAAAGTACCACTGTTTATTTGATGACATGCAGAGATTCTTACCTATGTTTTCTATGGCTTTTTAGGCTTTCTTCACAAACTTAGCTACCAGACACTGGTGAACACCTTTTTTGTCTTTCCTATACAGTTTGCAGCACACTACTCAGGTCTCCATCGGCCATGCAGCTTGCCTTTTGCTAAAAATTTTTAATTGGTTTTCATGTATCTTTATTAAATAAAAGCTTGTCACATGCATGCTTTACTGTTGTAGATGCACTGTGCTATTGTCTGTAACCTGAGCCTGTGTTTTTCATCTGTGCTTGGACTGTATCTAAGTGGTTTGTAGAATATAGTTAAGGAAAACAAACCTTTTGTATGCCAGTTTTATATATGTGTATATATATAAATATACATATATATATGTATATTTTATATGTTACATAAAGGTATGTTTTATATATATATATAAAATGAACCTTTTTGTTTGTCTTTCCAATTATATATATTGGAAAACTGCTATTCATTTACAAATTGTGAGAGACAAATTCTGATGTACACACTTATCCTGGTGAAATGCATAGCAGACTCTACTTACATTTCTGGTGCTACCGACCTGTATTCTGGGAAACAGTGGTTGTTGCTGTTTGTCAGCTGTACAATATGTAAATTTTATTAGATACTCCTGGAAGATTAAGAGCTGATTGAATAGGAATAAGGGGAAGCTTTTTAAAAGCTAAATGTAGTTTTGTCATTTCTTTCTCTCAGCAAGCCTTTCATCCTGTGAGAATCTTCAGGTGATACTACTTTTATTTTCCTTTGCAGGTGAGAACAATCAGTGTGGTGTCAGTCTGTGTTCTTTTACCATTCCCCTTAGCATCATCAGAGTAGGGGCAGGAAATAGTTTAGAAAGGTATAAGTGATTTTTGTCTAAGACAGATGAGTTAGCAAATGAATTCAAATATTAATAATTTTAAGCAAAAACTGTTGGCTTCTAAGTTTCTTTCTTCGAGTCCACATGTATTACGTTCAGAAGACTGTAACATAGTGCACCAGCAAACTCGGAGTAGAAAGAAAGAGCTTTGAAGTATTAAAGTTTTGGCTGATACTAACAGAGATTCCTGATACTTTTTTATGTAAAGAGTGGCAGTTACCACATTGCTTATCAAAGCACATGGAAAAAGTGTAACATCTTGTAACCAAAACATGGTTACAGGGCTGTCACAGCAGACAAGGGCGCTATAAGAGAATAACTCACTGTATTAAGCCATTGCATTTGTTCACTGGAAACTGCTGCCTGGACACTTTGAGTGTAAGAATGTATTGGTGGTGGAAAAATACTATAATCACAATATACTCAGTTAAGGCTTCAGAATCATCCTCAAGAAACAACAGTGACAGTATATAGAAGTGGCAGAATTAAAATGCAAGTATAAAGTTATTAATTGAGGGTTAATTAAGATAGCGTGTGTTATCCATAGGAGATGTTCAGAAAGCTTTGTACAATGACAGTGATTAGAAGAAGGAATGCTGATCCCTTCATGCATGAAATAGTTTGTCCCACTATGAAGCTCAGAAAACTAATAAAGGTTCTGTGAACCAAAGCCATAGAGGATTATTTTAACCAGGTTAAGACATTTTCTAGAAAGGCTGGCCTTTTTTTTTTTTTTTCCTTTTTGTTTTGCATGACTTAAGGAATGAGCAGTTACATTAGAAAAGGCAAATAGCAAAAATATAAAACTAGTTAAAATTGACTTTTTCTGGTTTTTTTTTTTTTGCAAAGAATTTTAGTGACTCAGAAGTGCCTGTGATTCAGGAAATGTGAGCATAAATTAATCTGATGCTGATTGGAAACCTGGAAAGTTTGATCAGCAGAACATAAAACAGCTACTGCACATATGTCTTGATAATGTCTGTAAATGTTTCTATATGAAACACACACATGAGGATTACAAAGTTTCTTATTTTTTGAAATGTTTGTACCATTTCAAGCTGCTCTTTTCCAGAAATGCTGTTCTATATTTTATTAAAAGAGCTTTTCAGAAAAGCAAATGCCATAAATATAACTTGGGATAGTAGACAATATATAAACATTTCTCGTATTTCTTGTATGCATACTATATATTTATTTCTTTCAAACCGTAGTTACCAAAACTTTACTGTGTAAATCTCATTATATGTTGTTTGTATCAGAATGAAAATATATAATATAAATATAATATAATTTAAAACTAGGATTGAATTGCTGACATTTTCCATTGCATGTGAATGCCAAGTTGAATGTTCAGCTTTTAATAAGGAAATAGCATTTGTTTTTACATATCAATGTATAACCTGAATATTAGTGCCACATAATTGCTTTATCCCAGAAGACTATGAAATCTGCTGACAAACTGAAAAATTGAAAGAAAACTTTAGTGGGAGCTAAAGGTCCCAATTTCTGTTCCATGTCCTGAAATCAGTAAAAAAAAAAAAAAAAAAAAAAAGAAGAACTCGTCAGTATTAATAAAGAAGTTTGTTAGAAAGGAGAATAGGAGTCAAATTTACTGCTTTCCCTCCTTTATATTGTGATTCTAGGGAAATCTCTATCTGCTGAAGTTTAGTGTGGGACAGTATTCATTATCTAAGTTTTCATAGAATTTAACTGAACTTCATCCAATTAATGAGTGATTTTGTAAGGTAAATTGATGTCCTGTCTGCTATTTTCATGGAAAAAAATGCAGGCAGCAATCCTGCTACCTTTTGCACGTCATCATATACCCCACCTTTTAACTAGGGCAAACTTGCATCATACCAAGATTAAATTTCAGACGTTCAATATAAATGTTTCCAAGTATTTTTTAACAAGTAGAGTTAAATAGAGGTACAAATATGTTATCCATGTGTATCTCTTGACATATTTCCTCACATACTCATGGTTTTTATGTCTTGCACCTTTTCTTTTTTCCTATAGTTAATGGATGGGGTAATTCAACTGAGTTTTTGATGCTTTTCTTGAGGTAAAGAAACTCTACCTTCAGATATTATTCTTAGTTCTAGGTAATCCAGTTTCTTAAAGAGCAAGTCTGCAGAAAAAGAAATAGAAATAATTATGAAAAGAAAAAAAGCCTTTATAACATGATTTAAAAAAATCTTTTTCCTACTATTGTTTAACACTGATTTTTTAAATACAGAATTTTGTTTTACATACTACACAAACACTGTAATTGTGTTATTGGTTATCAAAGGTTACAGAAAATAAGAAGTATTTAAGCATAGTTTTATACCTATTTATGATAACAAAAAGAATTGCCCTTATACAAGAAGAAACATAAATACTTACAAGATGTGAAGGACTTGACAAATCTCTAATTGCTTTAAATTAAAAATGCATTGTAAAGATATCTGTGAGATTGTATTTTAGGATTTTTGTTTTGTTATGGTTTTGTTGCTGGTTTTGAAGCCGATTAGTCGCTATCCAGAATGAAGGAAAAAAATTCAGAACAGTTGTTATTGTTCTTCATTCTATCATTGTTCTTCAATTTGATGATATAGTCATTTTTGTTATATGAATATGCTTTTTAAAAATAAATTCTTTCCTGTAAGCAGTATGAATTAAGAGTAAAATCTCAACATCGCTTTTATATTTCATGTTCAGAGATGTTCTGTTACATGAAGTGGCTTTGGAATGAACTATTTCCCTGCTCTATCATCTTGGTGTTCACTATGTGTATTGAAACTACCCCTAGAAGTCCTAATGAAATGTGTTAGAAATTGCTATAGAACAGAACAAGAGATACTTTTCCTACGGAGTTTAACGTTCAAGTATAATACAAGAGTCAACATGTTTACAGTGCAGTGCAAAGAGGCAATAAGATGATATTGGTCAGCATAATATTCACTGATCTGAGTACATCAGCAGCCTGGTAAGTTTTTCGTGTGTTTTGACAGATGAGAGATTTAGAGGAAAATAACAGATTGCTTTTGTTAATGCTTTTTGAGAATTATTTCTAACCTTGAGAGGCAATCGGGGATAAATGGTAAAGGTGGTTTGCCAATTCAGAGTTGGATTTGACAGCTTTCTAGAGAATGGAGAGAGACGATAGAACCGTGAAAAGCATATAGGCCTTCCTCTGTAATGGGTCTTCCACTTTGCAAGCACAAAGAAAGAAGTTATGTACTTAAATAGTCACACAATTTTTTTTTCAAAATTGGTTTGGATGGAAATGAGCAGTGCAGACTGCACTGATCAAGCTCATAGAAAGGTACTTTGCTGCAATACAGGGAGGAAATGAGCACTTTTAAGGGCATCTCCTCTGTAGATGAAATGAGAAAGTAGGAAATAAAGATACCCTGAAGAATGAATTAGCTGTATTTGAACATGGGGGATAGGAGGAGCTCCAGAGAGGACTCCAAATGGAGACTCATGTGGGGCAATAGGTGTTCTTAATAGATGAAATGATCATGTTGACCATAATAATTAAGAAAGAAGGGTGAGAAGGATAATGAGTGAAAAGCTCTGTTTAGAGGTGTTGATGATTATCTAGTTATGGGATACATAGAATAAATTGTTGGGTACAGGGATTGTCATTCATTTGAATATCTGTGAGACATACCTGGCGGAAAGTGGATATTGCCTGTCATCCCCATATGTTACTGAGTTATGCACCATGAAAGAGGGAGGACCCAAGTGTAACTTTGAGAGATCCATTATGATTCTAGGTCCATATTTCCTTGTTGTGCCTTTACCAGCATTGAAGTTTCCACCACTTTCAGTTTCTGAATGCACACCACATGCTCATAATAATTTAGCTGCTAGAGGATCTGACACCCACATCTCTAAAGGGAATGCTTAAGCAGAGTAACACCTTTTCAAGCACAATTGTGATGTTCTCAAGTTCATACTGCAAGATTCTACCCATAAATGCAAGGCAGATCTGCATTTAGCAAGACCTGTGGCAATGCATTGAATCAGTAAGGTAGATGTACTCACTGAGGCTGCACTTAGAGTTTCTAAATACGATGTAGAGAGCCTGAGCTCAAAGCCCTTGGGTACTCCCATGGAAAGCTGTAGAAGAGTTCTGAAAATCTTCTATAAGACATGCAAGTCTAAAACAAAATCCCCAGATCTCAAATATCTAGCAGTGACACCCCCACTTTCTGACTGAAGCCTTTCAGAAGCAGTGGGCCTCCATTTGTACCTGTGGAACCCAGGTATGGATACTGGATTTTTTAATTGAAGTCATAGAAATGTGGTGGTTCAGATGCATGAAAAGCCCAGTCAAGTAACAGTTCACAAAAAATAATTAAACTGTGTGCCTTTCTTAAGGGGATGGTTTAATGTTCTAGTTGTTGGTGAATTTGGAGCAACTCTTATCTGCATATCCAAACTACTAGATACTGAACTGCAACCTGTTGGTTAATAAATTTATGAGTCTGGAGGTTATGCTAGGCATAGAAAGTGCAAGAGTAGCAAGAAAAATGTTCTACCAAAACCATACAGTCCATAGCCAGAGTTTGAAGGTAATCATATCCTTCCTTTGAGAGATATGGTCTGCAGGTAACAAGTCTTTGTGTTTACCATCCTACATTACAAGTACTGGTTTTGTTCTTTTCCTAGCCCCCATAATGGTAGTATTAGAAGATTGTATTATTTACATTCATAGTGAAACACTAATGCTGTCATTTGAGAGGGGTCTAGGGATTTTTATTTGTATTCAAGTGTGTTTGATCTAAATCATGGTAATGTTTAACTCTTAAGTCTGAAGACAGAGTGAGATTTTGCAGTATTTCAAATAGCTAACAATCACAGTCGTGATGCTTTACAGGCTAGTAGTTAAATGTGATGTTACAGGACAATACAAATTCCATTGACCTCATCAAATTCTCTATAAGAACATATCAGGCATAGTCTCAGAGAGAGTAAAAGGTTTTCATTGTTACCTCAGCAAAAGATGCATGATATCTTTTTTGTCCTTCCTATCACACTCATGTTTATATGGTCTCTCAGTTCTTTAGAGGCTTTAATAGAATCTTTTAACTCATTGTGACACAAACATCTTGATATTATCAGCTCTGTCAGTTTATTATTGCTACTTTTACCAAGCAGTTCTACTAATGTGTTTCTCAAGTCAAGAAGAAACTTAAAATGTTTTTAAAAATTGAAAATACATTTTGGCTGTATTATATAGACTGATCACTGTAATTTTTCTGTTGGAGATTTTAGAAATTTTGCAGTTTTTAGATAGGTGTATAACCTTAATGCAATTTAGAGCTTCAATTCTTCAATTTCTTTTTCTAAATATACACAATCCGCAAAAATATCACTTTTTGAGAGGAAAAAATGTCTTCTGATTTTATGAAAAGCTTCAACTGGACATGAATTATATCCTGAAAAGTTCATGCTGTTAATAAAATGGAACACCTAAATAAACTGCAAAAATGCTTACAGGTCAGCATTCTGAAATATGAACTTAGAATGTATAAAATTATATTGTACAAGTAATGAAAATTAAAGACAAAATTGGTAAAAGAAGAGGAGAAAGAGGGGGAGAAAAGGAAGGTGTTAGGATAGTGAATATATGCATTCTTGTTTCTATTGTCAATATGAATTTTAACCAATCCTATTACAAAATTTGGCATGAGTATGTGTGTGTTGTGAAAGCATAGTCAGCCTCTTTAAATTCAATGTAATTGACTCCTGTGATCTGTATATACGGCAATCTGGCTATTTAATGCATATGAATCTCAGCAGAAGAAAACCTGAGATTTTTTTTTCAGTAGTTACCTTTCTGTTCATGCTTTGAGGTGGTGTTTCTGAAAGTCCCAAATATAAGGCCCATTTATTCAAATTTTAAGAACATTGCAATTGCCAGTGTTTTATGTGAATATGGAAGGAGCAAGAAACAGTTTTCACATGAAAAACAAATACATTTTTCCTTCACTTTCAAAGTAAAACCACAACAAAGACACATGTCACTTCTACTTGCCCTGCCCCCTGTGCAGGATATCTGGGGTAGAACAATAAATAGTATGGAAAATGACAAATTCTGTATCATTCTCTAGATGAAATCATTGCTTTGCTAGAAAAAATGAGTAGTTAGCCACTAACTGCATTGAGCTGTGATTTCACCTCTAATGTCAGTGGCTCCTAATGTAATCTTCCCTCCTCTGTGACAGATTTTTTGCAGGCTTGGCTGCAGAGGTACATAATGTTGTTCTTCAGAAATGTCTAAGAGTCTAGTAATTGAAAAGTTTACAAAAAAGCTTGTTCATACTCTGGGATTGGGTGTTATTTCTGGTCAGAGCTTTAAATTACAGATTCAACTTGATCATCTTGTGTTGCATAGGCAGATTCTAAACTTTGTTTTTAAAGTTTTAAAAGAACTATTTCATTGGAAATGCATTGTCTTATGAAATAACTGACAAAATTTTGTGTGTCCTTTGCAAAAGGCTGGATGTTTAATGCAATAAAATTGCATCATCACAATTTAAATTTGAAGTAATATTAATTTCATGAATCATATATGTAACTTAAAGGTTACTGTGGTAACACTGTCATACATTTTTCAGATAGTTTAGTAATTATATAATGAACAGACTTAATTAATCATCAATGTATGTATGCAAAGTAGGGTAAATTAATATTACGACAGTTTGTGGACCCAAGTCATCACTCAGTGATTGATTGGTTTAAATTCCTAACTGAAACCTTTTGGTCATGATTTTTGTACTTAAAATGTTATTACATATACTGGAATGTCTGAATGTAGCTATCAGAAGTGCTAATAGATAAAATGTTATTAACCGTGTCTTTGAAGCCTGGCAATATGAAGATGCACTGTCCCTATTGTCATCATCTTTATTATATTGCTTGGTGAAGGCAGCTCTTGGGGATGCATATTTTAATGCATCTGAAGATTTTTAAAGTTTACATTAGATAGATGTTTAATTACAAAGTTGCAGAATGAGAAGAATTGATTGCGGTATAGGAAATCTTACGAAACTATGAGCTCTATTTTTGTTTTTTTCAGGATACAGCTGTTGTAGGTTTGGGTGGAAGAGGGAATTTGCTTCTTAAGAATGT